CTGTAGCTATATAGTAAACTTGCTAGCTATTTCAGTGGATGTTGAATACATTTCTACCTGCAAATGAACACATTTTTAGCGCCAAATGTGTTAAGTTGAAGCTATTGTATAAAAGGGATAATCAGCTTGGGGCTCTATGCGTTCTCTGGAAAAGAAATCAACTCTGTGGAAGTAGCGCGTCGTGGAAAACAACTTTCACATCGTTCATTATTTTCTGTAGAATGCATAGCACCTTGGTGATTTTCCCTTACGTATGTATGTAAACAGAAACTGTCCGAGCAATTGAGCAGGATATAAACTCTATTGAGTTAAAACTGCTCACTCAGAATGACCCTGGTCTGGACAGAACTTTACAGGACAAAATACATAAACTGGGGTTATTCCTATATGAGAGGTGAAAGGTCAGGTCTCGTTTTGCTACTCTCAGGGACATGGTATGACAAAACATCCTAGCGCGAAAAAATAATAATTTTGTAACAGTTGTTAGGGAGTTTGACCTCCCAATAAAGGGGATTTTAACATTCAAATGATCTTCATCTTCTCCTCTTCTCCTGCCTTCTCAGAGCTGTAAAGAGCAAACAGTGTCATAGTCCTCAAAAGCCTCCATCCAGCCTCCCTGTTAAGGGCTGCAGGTAGCCTAGCGGTTAGAGCGTTTGGCTTGTAACCGAAAGGTAGCTAGTTTGAATCCCCAAGTTGAAAAATCTGTTGACGTGCCCTTGAGCAATGCACTTAATCCTAATTGCTTCAGGGGCGCTGTTGGTAATGGCTGACCCTGGCTGTGACCCCACTCTCAGGGAGTTGGGTTATGCAAAAAACACATGTGAAACAAGACCAATATAACCCCACCAACTTTTTATTATTGCTAGGGACCTCACGATATGTATTGCGATTCTGTATGTATTGTGATTCGATACTATAATTTTATTGCGATTCGATGTTCCTGCAGAGGGACAAGAGAGAGCAATGAGAAAACAAGTTTTGATCAGTCATGGAAATAAAACTGCTGAAAACAAATTGGCTTCCTATGTAAAAACATATATATATTGCGATATTGTCAAAACAATACGATACGATATAAATAATATCCCGATATGTAATTGTATCGATTTTTCCCACATCACTAATTATTATCTACCAAGCTATAGCACAATAACCTCTAAATAAACATCTCAAAACATAAAACATAGCCCAGGTATTTACCTGTTTTAGGTGAGCGATAGGGGACACAATTGTCAAGACAATGTCTACATGATTCTCAATGTTTGGTATATAAGGGAGGGAGAGGTTTGGGGGGGGGGGGGCACAAACAGCTATTCATTAATTCCTATTACCCATTACTGTCTCATTGGAGTTTCCTAGGAAGCTTGTCTCCCTTCTCTGCTAGCTTGTCTGGTGCAGTACAGTATAATGATGAGGTTTCAGTCTCTATCATGCTGGCTGGGTCACTCACTAGTCAACCTCTCTTTAACCCTGCTCCCCTTCAGAGGCAGGCATCATATTGACGAGGCCTGGCTGCGTCAGAGGACTGGACTGAAATATAGAGGAACAAGGGCAATGAGAGTGTGTGATCACTCACAGTGAGGGCCATTTCCATACACACGAGCACACACACACACACATTGCGGTTCACATCAATTTTAGAAGTCACATATAGAGAATATTGGGCGAGTGGCCAAGCAACCGTACACATCTCAAATTATCGGAACAAAAGTACCTCCAAAATCGGTCCCATTTTTTTGGTTCATCTGGTGGTTTTGGCAATGCAAGCCTTTTTCCCTCAGGGGGTGTAGAGCTAGCTAAGCTTGAAAAATAACATGTCATCGTTTTCCAACTTTCCATTTCATAATTAATGGTTGGGCTCAGCACAACCTACCTTGCTTACTAATCCTTTTGATAAAACACCTAGCACCTCTGTTATGAGGAGAGACATGAAATGCAGAGTTAGGGAAGAATTCATTTCTATTTATCTAATGTATTCTCGTGAGATATAGGCCTAGCCCTAGCTGTTACAGCCTTGCCTGCCTGCATACACACAATTTCTCTCTCTCGCTCTCTCACAGTGAAACAGTCTGAAGCCCAGCAGTGTCAGATAGCTCCACTTAGTCCCATTAGCTGAGAAATAACTTTAGTTAATTATGATGTTGTGTCACTCTGTTGGAAATTAATTTAATAATCAGCGTTTGAGCTTCCTGGAAGGCTGCTTTCTTTAAGAGCTCATTTATCCTTCCCTCGCCTAATGCATGACTTCAATACCAGACTCCTATAGTTCTCTTATTAGTTGTTTCCAGGGAGATAAGGGATGCTTTAACACCAATTCATTAATTAATTAATGCTATCGAATGTAAATTACTTAGCATGATAATTAGAATAATGATGTGGAGGTTGACTACCATACCCATGTCTTCTTGTGCAGAGGACGTCTCTACACCAAAGTCTCAGGGTGGGTATCAATAACATAGTAGTGTTGGTTTTAACATTAGAATAATAGGTCTATATAGACTAAGGTCTAATGGTCTATGTTGAATGAAGTATAATTCCTTACTGTTTTACTGCAGTACACTCTCATCCCTCAGTTAGGAACTAAACCCAGTCCTGATTTACTTCAACAATTAGCTTTCTGTGGTCTCAAATTAAAGGAACCTATAGACTCATCATTCCCATCGTCTGACAACGCTAAGAGTCTCGTAAATAATTCTGATCGTTTATTACTTTTTGTATCGTAATTCGCTTGTCAGTGAAGCAGATGACATTGGCATGAATCAGTCAACATAGTGTAAGAAAGAAAATCAGGTAATACTTTACGTTAAGGTGAAGGTATACTTAAAAAATGTTAAGAGGTTATAAATAATTTAGAAACTGTTCATGTTAGTTTATAGATTAGTTATAAACAGTTGTTACACATCGGTTGAAAATGTGTGTACTGTAACTGTTATTGAGAAGGCCTGCTGTGAATGGTTGTTTTTACAAAGACTGCATCTTTTTGATAGGCTTCTCATTCCTATAATGACCACAGAGATTTTTAGGAGCTAAAGCTGTAGGCATAAGCTTAATGATATTGCTATAAAAAATAGGGAAAGACAATCTTTGAGAGCATACTTGGAAAATGTAATTAAAGTAGAAAGTCGATCAGGGATTAGTTAAAATTGCTGTGGAGTTAATTAAGTGTGTTAAAGTCTCATCTCCCTCGGGTGTGTTTAAGGAACGGTTTGCTGAAACAATATACCCCTTCCACTTTGTCGACTAGATTAGATGATGCCGTTCAGAATGTATTGACGGAAATGAGGCCTTTCAGGCATTTCATAATTTATTGACAGGAAAAATCTAAGAGTCTCATAAATAATTCTGATATTTTATTAGATTTTGTATCGTGATTAACAGCCTTACTTTTGACAAAGTAATTTGCTTGACGGGGAAAGTTTGAATAATGCTGCACCCACAGTCATGAACTGAATTGAAGATTCTTGCGAAGATTGGAGTAAGATTGAAATAAAGAAGTAAAACTTTCCCATGAACTATGTAAACCATCTTCAGAGAGTCAGTGACAAGGAGATGTGGCTTCCGGTTCCAATTCATCATTACTGAATGTGGTATCTGTGGATTCATCTCAGAAAGGCTCTCACAGCCAGCGTCTGCTATTTAGTTTGGTGCAGAACATCAACATCAATCTGACCCGGGTGTTGCATCAAAGTGGATGACAGTCTTTTTGTCAGTCGAGCTTTATTGATCCTCACATCCATGGACTGTCACTGTCCCCCGAGCCTATCTAGCTCCCTAGCAAGGGGAAGGAGAAACAAACAGGTTACCATTGAGCCACACATTTTCCTCAAGGATTGAGAGTTGGCGTGAAATCTCTCCCTGTCATCTCTGGGGACTTTAGTGTCTCTGAACAAAACCTTTTAGCTTTTAGGCTGGGGCTGTATGGGTCACTGCATTGAGGTGTAGTGTAGCTCACTACCCCTCCTGCCTCCTGTGCTAGAGAAAATGCTGGAATCAAGAATATGGTCTCACTCATATAAAAGCTCTCTCCTCCTGAGCTCAACTGACAGTGTGTTTTGAATTATGGATTAGCTAAATGTGAATTCATGAGAGAGGTCTTTGAGCTAGTTTGTTGTAAGGAGAGGAAGCTGTGTGACATGGTACTCAGCTGTGCGATATTTGCTTGCTCTATACACATTGCGTACATTTGAAATGTTACATGTGATATAAAGTCCAATGACACTAAGTCTTGTCCAAATTCTTGTCAAGACAACAGCTATGGCAAGGAAGGAACCTGTCTCACCTATCTAGTCTGCACTTAAAGTTTTACTGAATATTGTACATCTGAAAGGGTTTAAGAAGGGAACGTCCCATGATTTCCTGTATATCCTCCATGTGATTCAGTGTCCCTCCCTGAGGCTTTATGCTTCGCAAAGCAACATAATTAGATGGAAAATATGCAATTATCATCCTCAACTGCACACTGAGATACAGAACACAGAATTAGCCAATTCAGGCATATTGAGGACACCTATGACTGTAAAGTAATTGGAAAGGTGTTAAGATAGCAGAAGACCGACTGGGCACAGACATCAATTCAACGTCTATTCCACATTGGTTCAACGTAATTTCATTGAAATGACTTTGAAACAATGTTGATTCAACCAGTGTGTGCCCAGTGTGATATGAGTGTCATAAGATGTTAAACTTTCACAAGGCATGGGGCACTACTCAAAATTGTTCTTCTCTTCACAGGATATTATTTAGCATCTGCTGGAATCCCATTCATTTTTGTCCCTAGCCAAGACTGTCCCCACTTCCTACTGAATCAAACCATGTTGTAACGTGTGATGATTTGATCATTAATGGCTCTTACAGGAATGGATCAATCACAGCTAATGAAGATGTTCTCATTTTTGTTTCCTTTCATCTAGATACAATGGAGAGCTGCCAAAGACTGAATATCATAATTGGAGAAATGGAAGAGTAGTAGTGCGACTGCAACTCGGGCAATTCGCACCAAGATGGCGGCCCACCGGATCATCAGAGTGACCAACAGTAACCATGTTCTCCCTCGCTGCAAATCCGAGGGCACGCTCATTGACCTCAACGAAGGGCTCTCTGAGACTAGCCTCACAGATGTCAAAGGTCAGGGTTCAATACTGACTAATGAACCAGACAGTTATTTAGCCATTTAAATATATATTGATTTGAATGCAAATTGAGGATGAATTGAGAATGTTTATGTGAACACTTCACAAGATATGAACAGTCTCTTGACATTTCTGATCTTCTTTTTATTTTCTTCCAGTGCCTTCTTCCAGTGCCGTACGGCTGGACAATTCAGCCTCCTTCGTAACTGCTCGTGAAGTAGTCGCCATTAAGGATTACTGCCCGTCCAACTTTACCACGTTAAAGTTTTCCAAAGGTGACCGGCTTTTTGTGATGGACACGTCGGGTGGAGAGTGGTGGTATGCCCACAACAACACAGAGATGGGCTACATCCCCTCGGCATATGTCCAGCCCATCAACTGCAGGAATTCTTCGCTCAGTGATAGTGGCATGATAGACAATCTAGGGGAGTGTACAGACGAAGGGGCTAAGGAGCTGGATCTCCTAGGGGAGTGGACAGGGGTGTCTGTTAAGACCACTCCTTATTCACCTTATTTTAACAGTAACCCCTTCTCCCTCCATACCTCCTCCACCAACCCCTTCATCAACAGTGCTCATCTACATGGTTCTCTAGACCAGAACTGTAATGAGAGGGGAAGGTCCACGGACCTGCTCGTCTTTGACTCCCTGGCATCCCCAGTCTCCCCCTCGGTACCTAACTCTACCTCCGGCACCACCATGATCAATGGCTTCAGTAGCTGCAACATCTTTGACATGATGACACCAACCAGCCCAAACCAGGACTTACAGGTTTTACAGACACTCCGAAGGGATAACCCATTCTTCAGGAGCAAGCGATCGTACAGTTTATCGGAGTTGTCCGTCCTACAGACGCAATCTAACTCCCCCTTGCCTTCTTCTGGGTTCTTCACCGGCCTCAAGGCTCCCTCGCCAGAGCAGTTTCAGAGCAGGGAGGACTTCAGGACTGCGTGGCTAAATCATCGGAAGCTGGCCAGATCTTGCCATGACCTGGACTCTCTGGGGCAGAGCCCTGGTTGGGGACAGACTCAGCCGGTGGAGACCAACATTGTCTGTAAACTAGACAGTCGTGGAGGGGCAATTCAGCTCCCAGACACCCAGATCAGCATCCATGTCCCTGAGGGACACGTGGTTCCTGGAGACACCCAGCAGATTTCCATGAAGGCCCTACTGGACCCTCAACTGGAGCTGAACACCGACCACTGTTCCACGGTCAGCCCCGTGGTGGAGATCAAACTGTCCAACATGGAGACCAAGTCCTTCATCACTCTGGAGATGACCGTGTCCGTGACGGTGAAGAAAGACAGCGGTCAGGTAGCCGAGGTGCTCTGCGTCCGTAGTGACTGCAAGGAAGGACCCTATATAATCATCCCACATGCTTACCTATACAAGGACACAGTACAAGTCCAGTTGGATAACTTGGAGCCGTGTATGTATGTGGTGGTAGTGGTGCAGGCACAACACATCAACCTTAATACAACTGTATGGGACCATGTGTTGAAGAAAGTCACCCTGGGTGTCTATGGGCCCAAGCACATCCATCCATCGTTCAAGACGGTCGTGGCCCTATTTGGGCATGACTGTGCCCCTAAGACCCTACTGGTGAGTGAGGTGGGGAAGCAGGCCCACTCCGCCCCTCCAGTGGCGCTCACGCTGTGGGGGAAGCATCAGTTTGTCCTGGGACGGCCCCAGGACCTCAAGGTTGGCCTATACTCCAACATGTCTAACTATATGATCAATGCTAATGAGCAAGCCAGGATTATTCGGGGCTTCCAGGTCAAACTGGGGAAGGTTAGCCGACTCATATACATGATCACATCCAACAACCCTGAGGACATCTCAGACTTCACCTTGCAGGTCCAGGTCAAGGACGGCCTGGACTGTATCCTGGCTCAGTTCTGCGTCCAAACACCACAACCGCCTCCGAAGAGTGGAGCGCGGAACACCGGCCACAGGAGGTTCCTGAAGAAGAAAGAGGTGGTGGGTAAGATTCTTCTGTCTCCTCTGGCCATCACTGCCAAATATCCACAGTTTCAGGACCGCTGCATCAGCAACCTGAAGTTTGGCAAGTTGCTCAAAACTGTGATCAGGCAAAACAAGAGCACATACCTGTTGGAATACAAGAAGGGAGACGTGATCGCCTTGCTGAGCGAGGAGAAAATCAAACTACGAGGACAACTGTGGACCAAAGAGTGGTATATTGGATATTATCAGGGAAAGACCGGTCTTGTTCACGCGAAAAACGTTCTGGTTTTGGGGAAAGTCAAGCCTGTTTATTTCTGTGGTCCGGACCTCACGACTACCATGCTAGTGGAGCAGATTCTGAAGCCTTGCAAATTTCTCACATACATCTACGCCTCTGTGAGGACGGTACTCATGGAGAATATAGGGAACTGGAAGGCCTTTGCAGACGCACTTGGATATGGAAACTTACCTTTGTCTTATTTCTGTCGGACTGAACTGGACAACGAGCCTGAGAAGGTTGCGTCGGTTCTGGAGAAGCTCAAGGAGGACTGCACTAACATGGACATCAAGGAGAGAAAGACCTTCCAGAAGGAACTCATGACAGTACGTTTGTGTGTTTGTCTCTCTGTCTCTCTCTCTCTGATGTGTGTGTGTGTGTGTTTGGAAACCCCTCATCATAAATATTGTACCTCTTAGGCTGAAGAAGCTATTCAAATGTATGGGTCAATACAGAAACCTTATCAAAAGCTAAAGAAATAGGTAATTCCACTTTCTCCTGGAAATGTGTAGCACTTCTGTGTTTATTTCCTATTTTCCATCAGTAGCAGATGTTGACATGGTGTTCCCATTCTGTCAGAGGCAATGGGCTGTGATGTATTGTGAGATGGGGGGCTGATATGTTTCTGTACTCAGGTTATTCAGTCACGTGTGGTAAGCAGTTTTCCTTATCGCCTCAGGGTGCCTTAGGAGTAGGCCTACTTTTTGGGAGAATAAATGTGTTGTGACTTACAATGCACAGAAACACAGCCACATCACCTCCTTCAGTGCAAATCCAAGACTGAGACACAAACAGATATTCTCCTCAAAGCAGGCAGGGTTGCTGTTGTGACAGAAAGTGTTGGCTCAACATGCCTCCCACTCTTTCTCGAGAGTCTCCAGTCACCCTTTTCCTTTTTAAGTTTTAGACAGAAGTGCTTGGTAATGTAACTATACCCCGCATTGCAACAGTCACAAACAGGCAACAGTTGCTTGAATTTGGATCTGTGGAGAAATTGGATCTGTCTGGGAAAGGGAGGTTGATGTCTTTTTCACAATGCTTGCTTTTGTAAACATCTTATCAATCGGAGCTAGCATATATCTGTTCATTTTGTATGAAATATAACAGTTGTTTATGCCTTTCAATGTTATTTTGATCAAAGTTAGGCTAGAATTCAAACAAGCAACAATTTTTCTGCCAACAGGCATGATAAGCTGATGTTAGGCTTTAGGTTTGTGCAAATATTGCCACTGCTAGCTACTGTACATACAGTAGACAAAGGGATGAGGATGGATTGGTCCCAGATAACAATGAACAATGCCCAAAGCCCTCCTACTACCCCTTCTCTCACACACACACACACACACACACACACACACATTATTTATGGTGGACACACAGATCTGTTTACCGTGCCCACTAGCCTGGGAGTAACCTAATGTAGCAGGTGTAAAAGAAAACACCTGAGTGGAGTTCCCACATCTGGTTTTCAGCGGAAAAGGAAGCTAGGTTGAATTTGCTGTATCCCTGAAACCTGGAGGCATCCGGTTGTTGGCAACTCCGCTAAGGGTGTCCTGGAAGCGGTGTCTGAAATAGATCCATGTCTATGATAGCCTTCTAGCCACAGTAGAAACAGAGTGTTGTTGCCTATCCTGATCAGGCCAAGACACATCAGATATAACATCAGTGACACAACTGTTGGTCCATATTGATCCCTGAAATACTGTACATTAGAGCAGGATCTTGAGGACCATTGATATTGCTGTGCTGTAGTCTACAGATGCTGTATCTTAATTTGATCATCCTGTTGTTGCAGGAATTTTCCTGCACAGCAAGAAGAAAAACTTATAATGTATTCAAGGTTTAAAAAGGTTTCTAAAGTTTGTAATTTCCACTTGAAAATGTAAGACTTGATTTGTCCTAATGAAAAATGTATCAACCCCTATACATTTTTTTCATTGATTATATTCCACATAACAATTCACATTTCCTGTTGCTACAAGATGATTTACCTGCGGTGTGAAACTGGCTCAAATTAAGATACAGGATCTGTATATAGGTTTGTGTGGGGGAGATGGTTGTGTAAAGGTTTGACAATATTGCAGCACATTATGTCATTATAGTGAGAGTCTATAGTGAGAGTCTAGTGAGAGTTCTGTGGTATTTCTGTGGTTCTGTGGTATTTCTGTGGTTCTGTGGCCTTTCCTCAAATTGAGTAATTTGCCCTTTTGGTGACCTTAATCTCACAGAGTAGTAATTACTTCTCTGGACTAAAACTATTAATCAAAAAGTTTGTGCTAAACCTCAACTAAGAAGCTTTAAAGCTCAGTTAGTAGGCATTGATAGACAGAACAGAACCATGGTTAGGTCATATGCACAACAACAAAAAATACACTACTGCTCATCGAACATCTCATTCCAAAATCATGGGCATTAATATAGAGTTGGTCCCCCCTTTGCTGCTATAACAGCCTCCACTCTTCTGGGAAGGCTTTCCACTAGATGTTGGAACATTGCTGTGGGGACTTGCTTCCATTCAGCCACAAGAACATTATTGAAGTCTGATATTGGACAATTAGGCCTGGCTCGCAGTCAGCGTTCCAATTCATCCCAAAGGTGTTCGATGGGGTTGAGGTCAGGGCTTTGTGCAGGCCAGTCAAGTTCTTCCACACCGATCTCAACAAAACAATTTCTGTGGACCTCGCTTTGTGCACAGGGGCATTGTCATGCTGAAACAGGAAAGGGCCTTCCCCACGCTGTTGCCAAAGTTGGAAGCACAGAATCGTCTAGAATGCAATTGTATGCTGTAGCGTTAAGATTTCCCTTCAATTGAACTAATGGGCCTAGCCCGAACCATGAAAAACAGTCCCAGACCATTATTCCTTCCTCCACCAAAAACTTTACAGTTGGCACTATGCATTTGGGCAGGGAGTGTTCTCCTGGCATCAGATTTGCCCGTCGAACTGCCAGATGGTGAAGCATTATTAATCACTCCAGAGAACGTGTTTCCACTGCTCCAGAGTCCAATGGCGGTGAGCTTTACACCACTCCAGCCAACACTTGGCATTGCGCATGGTGATCTTAGGGTTGTGTGCGGCTGCTCGGCCATGGAAACCCATTTCATGAAGTTCCCGACGAACAGCTCTTGTGCTGACGTTGCTTTCAGAGGCAGTTTGGAACTCGGTAGTGAGTGTTTTAAACCGAGGACAGATTATTTTTACACGCTACGCGCTTCAGCACTCGGCGGTCCCGTTCTGTGAGCTTGTGTGGCCTACCACTTCGCGGCTGAGCCGTTGTTGCTCCTAGACGTTTCCAATTCACAATAACAGCACTTACAGTTGACCGGGACAGCTCTAGCAGGGCAGAAGTTTGACAAACTGACTTGTTGGAAAGTCACGTTGAAAGTCACTGAGCTCTTCAGTACGGGCCATTCTAACTGACAATGTTTGTCTATGGAGATTGCATGGATGTGTGCTCGATTTTATACACCTGTCAGCAACTGGTGTGGCTGAAAAAGCAGAATCCACTAATTTGAACGGGTGTCCACGTAGTTTTATATAGCCTATATAGTGTAGCTGATTATTATATAAAAGTTGCTTAATCAAAGATAACTGAGATTAGCACTTCAAGCTAAGTGGCCTATGATTCAGATTCCTCACAAAGCATTCATTCACAAGTGTGACCACCATAACCATAGCTCTGTCTAGCCTAAACAACGCTATTCTCTATGGGCTTTACAAGCCTGCCTTCCCTTTTTTCTGAGTCGCTAGCATGGTCTGACAGGTGTTGTCAGTTGAAATGTGAGGAGAGAGGAAAGGAGACATTGGTCAGGCCAGATAGCAGGCCAGGGGGGTTGGGCGACCAACGCTAACTGACACCGCTAAGAATTCTCAATGTGATGGATGGCGTTGCTCAGGCAGCAGACAATTGAAATGCCATCCCACTGCTCATCACTGAAATAGATCCCAACGGCCAACCAGAAAGACAGAGAGAGACACCTGCAGATTCCACAGAGTAGTAAGACATTAGGCTATACAAGTGGACTGCTTTTCTCTCATCAATGAATGTCATATGAGGATCTCTATGGGTAGCAGAAAGACACCCCCAGATTCTTTATTTCTTTCTTTAACCTTTATTTACACAGGGTGTCATATTGAGACCCAGGTCTCTTTTTCAAATGAGCCCTGTAATACAACAATACACATTTAAAAGACCCAGTACAGTCAAAAACATGCTTTTCCTGTGTTTTATATATATTTCGCCACTATGAGGTTGAAATAATACTGTGAAATTGTGTCAATTACAATAATGCCCTTTTAGTGTAAGAGTTTGAAAAGACCGCCTGAAATTTCAGCCTGTTTTGGTGGGATGGAGTTCCAAACCACCCTGCCAATAACAGCTAGTTTTCTGTTTTCCCCTCCTTTACTCAGACCACTCCCAGACAATCATAGCAAAATTCTTGCTTAATAAATTGCTCTTTGCTAAGAAGCTATTTGTATGTATTTTTGACCATTTTAATTGAAAATAATCTTTAAAAACGAAATGTAATCAATCTTTAAATATGAAATGTAATAAATAAATACAAAATTAAATAATAAATACATTTAATACATTTTGTGTGTGGTAAGACACTACAAGTTGACAAAGGCCTAAACCGTTTTTCTCTCAGCTTTGAATATCATACAAGGATCTCGTGTATTATGAGAGAGAAGGGTTAACATTTGGATAGTGGTGTGCAAAATCTCAAGGTTATATTATGTTGAGAATGACTTTGCATAGACACTTTTGACAAATAGATATGGCAATGATTTTAGTCACCACTGCCATCATCCTATGAAACATAATGACTGAAAGTCACCGTTGGTCCTACTTTCCCTATTTCCACCTACAGAGAAGTTTATAGACTGCTGATGCAGAAACGTTTTCCTCACCTATAAACTCCCTGGTTGACTTTAATGAGGAGGTTGAGTCCTTGTTACTGTGTTCTCCCATCTCCTGTCTCTCCTCTCCCCTGCTGTTAGTCTCAGGGACACTGTGTGTGTGTGTGTGTGTGTGTGTGTGTGTGTGTGTGTGTGTGTGTGTGTGTGTGTGTGTGTGTGTGTGTGTGTGAATGTGTGTGTGTATATGTGTGTGTGTGTGTGTGCATTTGGCACTTGACTGTGTGTGTGTGTGTGTGTGTGTGTGTGTGTGTGCACGCTCCTTTCCCTGCCTTTTAAATGCAGGGAGAAGAGCCAGATAGGCTCATTTGGAATGGAGCTTAGAGAGATAACTGCCTTTGAGAGCTCTGAGGCACAGGGTAAATTTAAGCTGTCAGTCATGTCTGTCAGGGCTTTCCCCCAGTGGAGGTGATGATCATGTCAAAGAGATGGAGTAAGCCTCCACACACACATGCACACACACACACACACACAAACACACACAGACATTTCGAAGGATGTCACTATAGCTTCCTCATTCTCATCAGCCTGCCTACCACTGGCATTCAGGTGCCGTTCTCTGGGAAACTGTCTGAGTGTGCGTGTGCGCAGGCACACACACACACAGGATACGCTTCTGAAAATCTCAACGAGTTACGTAGTTTTATCATAGGTTTAGATTAAGAGTTCAAACTAGAAGTAAAGGTGAATGGCATAAGGTCTTTTGGAATTGGAAGGTTTTATATGGCTCCATTGGACTCTGGAATGTTTGAAAAGGAAATGAGATCCCTCACTGAACTGTGCAGGAGGTCATTCAAAAGAGCTGGATTTATTTTTATACAGTACCTCTCTGAAGAGAAAGATAATGGAATATGACATTACTAGCTATTGGTTTCATAAAATAGTTCTGCATGACCCATAGTACATTATCACAAAGTTTTTAGTTTACTCATGTTATGGGATATAACTTAGGCAGCATTCAAGTGTTGTTTATCTGCTGCCATGGAATAAATGACCCAACTCCTCAGCACTGTAGGGGATCATGACATGTCATTTGGATTGAGGTTTCCATGACAGGAAGTGATTGAAGGATTAAGAAGATAGATGTTGAGTTAAGAGGTTTTAAGAGACAGTGATTCAACTAATCTTCCTGCAGGTTGAAGGCTATATGACATAACTGTGACATGGTAACTAGAGTTGCATCCCAAATGGCACCACATAGGGGTCTGGTCAAAAGTAGTGCACTATATAGGGCCCTCAAACTCAACTCTGGACCTCGAAGCCAGTTCCACACCATTTCTTTCATTGTTCCCCTCTAATTAGGAACTGACTTAGACCTGGGACACCAGGTGTGTACAATTCATTATCAGGTAGAACAGAACACCAGCAGGCTCCGAACTTCGTAGAGTAAGAGTTGAATACCCCTGATATGGGGACACCTTGCTGTCCCCAGTCCGCCTGGCCTTGCTGCTATTCCAGTTTCAACTGTTCTGCCTGCGGTTACGAAACCCCTACCTGTCCCAGACCTGCTGTTTTCAACTCTTAATGATCGGCTATGAAAAGCCAACTGAGAGACCTGAGCCCTAGGACCATACGTCGGGACTACCGGCCGTGGTGACTCCTTGCTGTCCCCAGTCCGCCTGGCCTTGCTGCTATTCCAGTTTCAACTGTTCTGCCTGCGGTTATGGAACCCCTACCTGTCCCAGACCTGCTGTTTTCAACTCTTAATGATCGGCTATGAAAAGCCAACTGAGATTTATTCCTGATTATTATTTGACCATGCTTGTCACTTATGAACATTTTTGAACATCTTGGCATGGTTCTGTTATAATCTCCACCCGGCACAGCCAGAAGAGGACTGGCCACCCCTCATAGCCTGGTTCCTCTCTAGGTTTCTTCCTAGGTTTTGGCCTTTCTAGGGAGTTTTTCCTAGCCACCGTGCTTCTACACCTGCATTACTAGCTGTTTGGGGTTTTAGGCTGGGTTTCTGTACAGCACTTCGAGATATTAGCTGATGTAAGAAGGGCTATATAAAATAAAATTGATTGATTGAAATTGATATAGGGTATAGGGTGCCATTTCGGACGCACCCTAGTAACAACGCTACCATCTTGACTCCTTGGCCCTGCCAGACAAGTGCCAGATGTTGTGAATGACACAGCATTAGGACTGAGTCACTCCATTGTGCCACTCACAGTTGACTCAGTTGCCATTGTTGGCAGATGGCGGTAAAAGCCGGCCCAGTAGCCAGACAGGTGGTGGTGATGGTGGACGTTATGGTGCAGTCCTATTTTAGTAACTTTGACAGAAATGTGAGTCCTGATTCAGCAGTCAGAGCAGAACAGAGGCCAGCTCATTAAAACAGTGCTGTTCAGAGTCAGGCCAGGTTGCCGAGGTGTCTGGAGTAGCACTGGAATGCTTTGAAGACAGTGTATGTGTCCCAGTAGCACCCTATTCCCTATGTAGTGCGCTACTTTTGACCACGGCCCATAGGGGACTATATAGGGCAGTGTTTACCAACTCCAGTCCTCGAGTACCCCAACATAACTCATTTTTATTGTAACCCTGGACAAGCACACCTGATTCAACTTGTCAACTAATCATCAAGCCCTAAATGAGTTAAATGAGGTGTGTTTGTCCGGGGCTACAACATAAATATATGCTGTTGGGGGCACTGGAGGACTGGAGTTGAGAAACACTGATATAGGGAATAGGGTGCCATTTGGGATGCAGCAGGCACTCAGCTCCCAGTTTGACAGACCAACATATGGATTTAAGTGGACATATGAGCTCCATATGCCTCATTCTCTTTCTGCAAAGCAAACAAATGCTGTCTCTTCTATTTAGATACAGTACTGTGCAAAATATAGATAGTGTGTCTGCCTCAGCATATCCTGTCAAGTTGCAGGCAAACTCTCCAAAGAGACTTTAAAGTGGAAAAAACGTTTATGTAATAAGATATAGTGGTGAAACATATGCGGTCTCTTATGTAGGGACATTGGCAGGCTTAACTGGTTGGCTCAGACTGGAAAACATGAATTCCTGTACATAAAACCTATTGTTTTTATTGGGTGGTACTTTCCATATTCCTTTGATGTTGCATAGCCCTCCTGGTTTTAGGCTACACCGTGAAAACATGAATTCCTGTACATAAAACATATTGTTTTTATTGGGTGGTACTTTCCATTTTCCTTTGATATTGTATAGCCCTCCTGGGTTGTAGCCTACACAGTGCAGACATGCTGTATGTCAGCCCACCTCCTTGTGGGATCCTGATAGACTTGATTTACAGTCATTCTCTTTCTTTCATCCTCTGTTCGTCTGTGGCGTTTCTATTGGAGAGAGGAGGGGATTACTAGTGTATTTTCTCTGGCCTCCTGGGTTTATTCTCATTCAACACATGTGTTTGTGTGGTAAGACCTAGAGAGGCTCTTCTAAATCATGCTATAATTCACCCTCAGACTTCACAGCAGGCTTTATAGAGAATGGGGAGGGATGGTATAGCCGTAGTGAGAGACGCAAATGTATTGTATCAAGACAATACCCTGGCCCCCTAATGCTGTTCCTCCCCACTCCTTTCACTATGTCTAGATAGTCATGTCTTCACCCCCTTTAATGTTGAACACCATGTGACACAATGGTGTGTCATTGCTGATCCTTGGGTCGTGTTGTTGAACTGTTGTGTTGTAGCTAAATGTTGTCTTCTGTTGTCGACGACCTACAGTGGCTTGCGAAAGTATTCAACCCCCTTGGCATTTTTGGGGGGTTTGTATCATTTGATTTACACAACATGCCACCACTTTGAAGATGCAAAATATATTTTTGTGTGAAACAAACAAGAAATAAGACAAAAAAACAGAAATCTTGAGCGTGCATAACTATTACCCCCCCCAATACTTTGTAGAGACACCTTTTGCAGCAATTACAGCTGCAAGTCTCTTGGGGTATGTCTCTATAAGCTTAGCACATCTAGTCACTGGGATTTTTGCCCATTCTTCAAGGCAAAACTGCTCCAGCTCCTTCAAGTTGGATGGGTTCCGCTGGTGTACAGCAATCTTTAAGTCATACAACAGATTCTCAATTGGATTGAGGTTTGGGCTTTGACTAGGCCATTCCAAGACATTTAAATGTTTCCCCTTAAACCACTCGAGTGTTGCTTTAGCAGTATGCTTAGGGTCATTGTCCTGCTGGAAGGTGAACCTCCATCCCAGTCTCAAATCTCTGGAAGACTGAAACAGGTTTCCCTCAAGAATTTCCCTGTATTTAGCGCCATCCATCATTCCTTCGATTCTGACCAGTTTCCTAGTCCCTGCCGATGAAAAACATCCCCACAGCATGATGCTGCCACCACCATGGTTCACTGTGGGGATGGTGTTCTCGGGGTGATGAGTGGTGTTAGGTTTGCGCCAAACATAGCGTTTTCCTTGATGGCTAAAAAGCTCAATTTTAGTCTCATCTGACCATATGTTTGGGGAGTTTCCCACATGCCTTTTGGCGAACACCAAATGTGTTTGCTAATTTTTTCTTTAAGCAATGGCTTTTTTCTGGCCACTCTTCCGTAAAGCCCAGCTCTGTGGAGTGTACGGCTTAAAGTGGTCCTATGGACAGATACTCCAATCTCCGCTGTGGAGCTTTGCAGCTCCTTCAGGGTTATCTTTGGTCTCTTTGTTGCCTCTCTGATTAATGCCCTCCTTGCCTGGTCCGTGAGTTTTGGTGGGCGGCCCTCCCTTGGCAGGTTTGTTGTGGTGCCATATTCTTTCAAAAAATGTTGAATGGATTTAATAGTGCTCTGTGGGATGTTTAAAGTTTTGGATATTTTTTTATAACCCAACCCTGATCTGTACTTCTCCACAACTTTGTCCCTGACCTGTTTGGAGAGCCGTTTGCTGGTGGTGTTCCTTGCTTAGTGGTGTTGCAGACTCTGGGGCCTTTCAGAACAGGTGTATATATACTTAGATCATGTGACAGATCATGTGACACTTAGATTGCACACAGGTGGACTTTATTTAACTAATTATGTGACTTCTGAAGGTAATTGGTTGCACCAGATCTTATTTAGGGTCTTCTTAGCAAAGGGGGTGATTACAAATGCACGCACCACTTTTCCGTGATTTATTTTGTTGAATGTTTTGAAACAAGTTCTTTTTTTCATTTCACTTCACCAATTTTGACTATTTTGTGTATGTCCATTACATGAAATCCAAATAAAAATCCATTTAAATTACAGGTTGTAATGCAACAAAAATAGGAAAAACACCAAGGGGGATGAATACTTTTGCTAGGCACTGTATGCTTCAGGAGGAATAAAAAGCCTGAATTAGTAAGTGAAGTTGTATTTGTGTGGCCTTTCTTCTAGGCCCTGTTGAAGATGGACTGCCAGGGTCTGGTGGCCAGGCTGATCATGGACTTTGTCCTGCTGACCGCGGCCGTGGAGGTGGCCCCGCGCTGGAGGGAGCTGGCAGAGAAGCTGGCCCGGGTAAACAAGCAGCAGATGGAGCAATACGAGGCTCCGCACAGGGACAAGAATGGCCTGGTGGACAATGAGGTGAGATTATCAGCCCATTACTAGTAGATACTTTAACATTTACTGGGTTTGACTGGTATTGGCTGCCTCAGACCTGTAATAAGAGGGACGTGAGAAAATGCTAACCCTTCTATCTGTTTCTTGTGTGCGGGGTTCTTTTATATCAGCCAGTCAGATTTGACCATAGAAGCATTTGGAATGATTCTCTGTCCCCTCTTGATCTTAAAGGGTTTTATAAGTACTTTGGATTGATTGATCAGTTCTATGACAGTCCATTGATTGATCCTATGTTGACAGTCCATGTGGAAGCCAGCCTATGACTTCCTGTTGACGTGGGCGGCCCAGATCGGGGACAGCTACCGGGACGTGATCCAGGAGCTGCACCTGGGCCTGGACCGAATGAAGAATCCCATAACCAAGCGCTGGAAGCACCTCACCGGAACGCTCATTCTGGTCAACAGCCTAGATACGTTACGCAGCTCTGCCTTCAGCCCTGTAGGACAGGGGGACTATGCCATTTGATCTGAGACTATCTACGTCTGATATGGCATCCTATTCCCTAAATAGGCTGCGTTCACGCAGGCAGCCCAATTCTGATATTTTTTCCACTAATTGGTATTTTGGCCAATCACATCAGATCTTTTCACATCAGATCTTTTTCAGAGCTGATCTGATTGGTCAAAAGACCAATTAGTGAAATAAATATCAGAATTGGGCTGCCTATGTAAATGCAGGCATAGTAGGCCACACATTTTGGCTGGAGCCTGGTCAGAAGTAATGCACTATCTAGGAAGTACAGGAGCCATCTGAGGGGTGATTCCTAACTTCCACTGACGTGAAATGTTCACTTAGTCATGCATTGAAGTCAATGGGAGACTAGGTGAAAGTTTGACTTAACTGGAAGTTCGGGTTCACACCCAGAGATTTTTTAAGCTACGTCTGAAATGGCACCCTATTTCCTACATAGTAGTGCACTAGTTTTTGCAAGAACCTGGTCAAAAGTAGTGCGATATATAGGGAATAGTGTGCCATTTATGATGCACACTGAGTCTCTGGAGCTTGGCACTATGGATCCAGCAGGACTACTACTGGTATCCTCCAGCCCTCAGGATGACCAATCACCAATCGGACCTTGACCGTCGCTGTTAGACCTTGAACGTTCAACTCTTGACCCTGCTCCCATCCTCTTGCACAGGACTACAATGGTAACCAGTAACCACCACTTCACACAGAGCACATGTTACTGTAGGTCCAATTCTCTGGCGGGTTAAACACTCAACACTCTCATTGGAATTTACAGTAGATTATTATTAAGCCAAAATATTGATGTGATTTCATATTGGTTGATGTTTCCCTCAATTTCTAAAGGGTGGTTTTTAATCGGTATTGTCTTTTGCTACGCATTTTTTCTACAGAAAGTGGCATAGCACCTGTTTTTATGGCTTTTTTTTCACTAAATATATAGATATATATATTTCAAAAGAAAAATTAACAGGATCTTGATTTATGAAGTGCATTATATTATATGCAATCACTTTGGAATTCTATTTTTATCCCCCTTAAGCGTTCCTGTGCTTACAATCTCTTTTTGACTGCTCTTTGTACTTTTTGCTTGCCAAAACAATTAGGTGCTAGCCTAGATCACAGTTTTTTGTTCTACACAAAAGTATCATAGTTTCAGAATAAAACCCATTTGGTTAGTTTCCTCTATGTTCACTTTAGGACAAAATGCGTGCCACAAAATCTGAATAATAATTACATCATGTATCCAACAAGGATCTTTTCTCTTTGTTTTCTGAAAGTTTAAATGCAGAATTTCCTCACAACATGGTCTCTTTATTTCATTTGTTTAACCGGCAGTAAAGGAATGAACAATTATTTTGAGGAATTAAATTGGCTGTGATGGTTTAAATGGTTTGGTACCCCATTTTGAAGGTTGTGATGAACTGATGAAGCCTTTTTGTCCTTGATTTGCTCATAAATATATTTTGGTTGCTGTGTTTTGCATTTTCAATGATACCCTTATCAATCAGAAGCTCAAACTCTGGAGCTTTTAATCTTTATACATTCTTTCTCTTCATATAACGCTACTGTATGTTTTCAGTGCACGAGCTGTATTTTGTATGTTTTGTGAATGCAGATGAAATGTGAATAGTATTATTTGCGCAGTTAAATGGTCACACTGGTCTGTGACGGTACAGATTGACAAGTTCTGCACATCGATGCCTCTATTAGTTGCTGTCTTTACCTGTTGGTTCGTGTTGACTCAATAAAATGGCTGTCAATTCTAAAGTGCCTCTGTCAGGCAGTGTGCAGGTTTCATGGTCGGAATTTGTGTTCCTACATTCTCAGACATTATTAAACATGATTTGTCTCAGTATGGCCCTACACAAAGGAGCACAGTGAGAGAGTAGCCTGGGCTACGGTGTTTTCTGGGGAGGAGGTATCGGACTCCATTGGGCTAGTGGCCAGTTGGCTGGTTTGCTAATTTAAGGCATTCCTAAGCACTTGCATCAGGCTGATTCAGGAGATCAATCTCATACTGAATATAAAGAACACAATTAATTGTAGACTTGCAAAAGGAATCCAAGTTTGCTTTTATACCAATCAAAAGAAAGGTTCTTTTAATGAGGTAACTGATTAATTAATTAAGGGAAAACAAGTTCTGGAATTAATGAAAACACAAATATATTATAATGAACAACAAATCACAGTAATATATGGATGGATTAAATACTTTATGCAACAGGATCTCTCAAACTAATTTCCAGTCTTGACGTTCGTCCAACTTGTGCCAAGGTCTAATTGCGAGGCTGCAGTCAAACGTCAAATTATGCCGTGATAAAGTGAGATTGGGTTGCAGCAACTGTCTGTTAGTTACATTTGACATTTTAGTAATTTAGCAGATGACTTATCCAGAGCAACGTACAGTTAGTGCATTCATCTTAAGATGGATTACTGCAACTCGCTGTTGGCTGGGCTCCCTGCCTGTGCCATTAAACCCCTACAACTCATCCAGAACGCCGCAGCCCGTCTGGTGTTCAACCTTCCCAAGTTCTCTCACGTCACCCCGCTCCTCCGCACACTCCACTGGCTTCCAGTTGAAGCTCGCATCTGCTACAAGACCATGGTGCTTGCCTACGGAGCTGTGAGGGGAACGGCACCTCCGTACCTTCAGGCTCTGATCAGTCCCTACACCCAAACGAGGGCATTGTGTTCATCCACCTCTGGCCTGATGGCCCCCCTACTTCTGCGGAAGCACAGTTCCCGTTCAGCCCAGTCAAAACTGTTCGCTGCTCTGGCACCCCAATGGTGGAACAAGCTCCCTCACGACGCCAGGACAGCGGAGTCACTCACCACCTTCCGGAGACACTTGAAACCCCACCTCTTTAAGGAATACCTGGGATAGGATAAAGTAATCCTTCTACCCACCCTTACCCCCCCCCCCCCCAAAAAAAAAAAAGACAAAAATTATATAAAAAATATTGTAAAGTGGTTGTCCCACTGGCTATCATAAGGTGAATGCACCAATTTGTAAGTCGCTCTGGATAAGAGCGTCTGCTAAATGACGAAAATGTAAATGTAATTGCTAGGTGAGACGACCATATATCACAGTCGTAGTAAATTATTCCTCAATAAAGAAGTTATAAAACAGATGTTTTTTTAAGATACTCTTAGATAAAAGGGTTCCAAAAGGGTTCTTCGGCTGTCCCCATTAGAGAACCCTGTTTGGTTCCAGGTAAAACCCTTTTTGCTTCCAGGTAGAACTATTTTGGGTTCCATGTAGAACCCTCTGTGGAAAGGGTTCTACATGGAACCCAAAACGGTTCTACTTGAAACCAAAAGGGTTCTTCAAAGGGTTCTCCTATGGAAACAGCCGAAGAACCCTTTTAGGTTCTAGATAGCACCTTTTTATTTTTAAGTGTAGGGTTTCAGACGTTTTTGGAAGATGGGCAGGGACTCTGCTGTCCTAGCATCAGGGGAAGCTGGTTCCACCATTGGGGTGCCAGGACAGAGAAGAGCTTTGACTGGGCTGAGGGGTTGGAGGGCCAAGTTGGGATGTAGAGTTTGAGCATAGCCTGAAGGAAGAGCAGTTCCCCTTCCTGCTTCGTAGGCAAGCACCATGGTCTTGTAGTGGATGCAGCTTCGACTGGAAGCCAGTGGAGTGTATGGAGGAGCAGGGTGACATGGAAAAACTTGGGAAGGTTGAAAACCAGACGTGCTGTGGCATTCTGGATAAGTTGCAGGGGTTTGATGGCACAAGCGGGGAGCCCAACCAACAGATAGTTGCAGTAATGCAGACGGGATGTGACTAGTGCCTGGATTAGGATCTGCGCCACTAGTTGTTTTAAATTCATGGGAAGCCTTGGTTTATCTACCCAAGCCATGGTACTACACATAGTTAAGTAGAAGGATTTTTAAATGTATGAAACCATCTCTCTTTCTCTGTACCCAATATTGAAGGGCGAGCTCTCGTTAGATCCTAGCAAAGGGCACTGCAGCAGTTGAATCAATGTAATTTCCATAGCTCTGATCTAAATGTGCCACCCCCTCACCTCTCCACAGTCTGGATAGAGAGAGGACATGCTCGATGTGCATCTATCAAAAGAGAGGAGGATGAAGGAGAAAGAGGGGGACCAAAAAAGAGAAGGAGATGGAGAAGAGTGGCCAGACACCAATGCATTCCTAAACGTATAGATCGTGTCTATTATTGTGTAACTGTCTGTCCTGTCGCACCTTTTTATAATAATAATGGGGTTAATTAATTAAACTAAATCTATGATAATTATTCATCCCTAACGGAGACAGACTCCCCATGGCGACAGAGGGGCACCTTCAGTTCCCTTCTTCCTGCTTCCATATGAGTCACCATGGCGATGAACATTCCTTCCTGCCCGTCGCCTGGTTACGGCTCAATGGCCGTAACCGTGTGTGCTCAGAGAGAGGGTCACACCATTGTCTGGGGTTCGACCCTCTGCTTGTGAATCATGCATAAACCAATGAATGCCCATGAGACACTAAGGCCAGACCATACACAGTGTATTGGGACATTGAGGATAGCTGTGAAAGAAAGCCTCACGCAAATGCAAAGTACAAATGCAAAGCAGGCCTACAATCGTCGCTTTCTCAGATAAGCTGAGGAATTGAAGCTTGGGACAGGGCAGGGGTTTAGTTTCCCAGGCCCATGTTTCACCTCATGTGTTCTTTTATTTCTCAAACTGTAATTGAACTGTCATTGTCGAAAGAAGTGCCTAGACTAGGTTTTATAATGGAGGAAGCCCTTTTGAGGTAATGATGATGTGATCATTAGTCTACCGATGGAAGATGTTGTGAGCTGAGGGTGATGCTTGTCCCATTTACTAAATGCTGTTTGATTTCATATACTGTCTCCCTGGGATCATGAATAATCACCTCTGTCCCTGACTCCCTGTGTGTGGAGTGTATGCCTAGGTGTGTGTGTGTGTGTGTGTGTGTGTGTGTGTGTGTGTGTGTGT